TTTTTTTGTCACTTTCAATAAGTTGCCCTACGGTGTCAATATTAGAGTCTGTAACCTTTACGTACCTCGTCATGGAGATGATCACGTCGACGTCTTAATTCTCCAAACCATGAATACACATAGCGGCGACATGGTGCTTCATCGCCAAATGCCAGTTGAAGTTACTAGCAACTCTCTTAATGACTTAAGACACAACGAAAATCATAAAACATCATTAAACGAAAATGTTCAAGAGTTAAATTCATTTTGATAGCGACACACAACTTTCGAAAGGAACACACAATGGAAAAACAAATGACAGTCTCGCAAATTAAAAATTAACATATTCCCAAAGAGTTCCATTTTCGAAAATCCTAATTGATTTTTAGTTCTTTTATGGTAAGTGGCCAAATCCAGAGACTTTCAGTATGCCTCACGTAGACCTAAAGCCGACCCGACCTAGTTTGGGAAAGAGGCTCAGAGGAAGTGTAAAATCATTCCTCTCCCTTTCATGTAATCTCGCTGAGTTATTTTTTATAAAGGGACGGCAATTTGTAACAAAAAACCGAGAATGCACGAGTGCTAGAGTTGAACGTTAGGCAAGTAGGTGAGATGTCATCGCATGCTACTATAATTAGGCAGTGTAAGTGTTCAATACTGTTAAATTTATTAAAAAAAAAAACACCACTAGCAGGTTTATTGTATTTTTGATACATTCAATAAAGGATACATTACGAAAATGTTACTTGCTGGTGTTTTTCGTAAACACACGAATACAAACTGAATCGTTTAAATTCCGAACGTTAAAATTGTTTGTTCTTCTTTTGTAAGAGGATTAGACCACTACAGTGAATCGCGAACTACTACAGATCGCAATCGATGTAAAAAGTACTCTCTTGCACAGTTACTAAGCACCATATTAGACAACCAATAACCACAGTAGTGTCGCCAACAACTACAGATGGTAATCGATGCAAAATGAACTATCGTCCTTTGTGCTTAAGCACACATTGGTGTAAAGTCAGGAATTTTCAGTGTATTGGCACGCGTTTTAATTACTTTAGTTATTTATTTATTCTGGGCTTCTGTTTATTTGAATTTATGATAAAATAACTCCTCTGTAACCCCAGAGATAGCAGGATCGGTAGAGGATGTTAAAATATTTATACTGGTATAGAGGCTTCCTTTGAAATTCGCGCAACAATTTCCAATAATTCAATATATTTTACCTATTTATCTATCGCCCGCAACTTCTATCGCATTGAAAATTATTTTGTCAATATTTATTTACGGGATGAAAAATGAACTGTATTCCGATCCAGTCTATCTTTGTGCCTTTATGAAATAGATTCGCTTGGCTATTTTAACATTGTGGAGTAACAAACACCCATCATAACTTTCGCATTCATAAAACTAGTTTTTCCCCACGACGGCGACGCTAGCGTTGATATCGATTTTGTACATATTTTTTTTGGCCTTAAAAGTAGCCTATGTGCTATTCCAGTGTTTTATCTAAGACTGCCTTGCATGCAAATCCGTTCATCCGTTTCCTTCACAATTATTACAAACCAGTTTTTACCCGCGGCTCAGCCCACGTGTATGTCAGTTATCGCGGTATAAAGCCTTCCTTCCTCCTTCCTATCCTTCCTCAAGAATCATTCAATTCATTCCATCAAATTTTCTATCTAGATAAGATAGAAATCGTCTAAATCGATTCAGCGGTTATTGACTTCTCATATAAGCTTCGACCTCTTTATTTTATTTCGGGGAAAAAACTATCCTATGTCCTTTCCCGGGACTCGGACTATCTCCATACCAAATTTCATTTAAATCGGTTTCATTTATATTATATATTAGTATAGTATGGATTAGTATGGATCATAAAAATAACTGGCCATTTTACACGCGGCCGTTTTATCACTAACTAGTCTGTGTATATACTATAGACTGCTGATTAAAATACCTAAATATTTCTAAATACGTAAATGATTCACATATATTACACACAGACACAAAAATCATCACAATTTTATTAGTCATGAGTGGGAATCGAATCCATGATATAGCTCATCAGCCAGAATCACGGACCACTACACCAACAGGCCAGTCGTATCTTTTAAACTTTTCATAGACAATACTAACAGTCTGTTACACATATTCTTTAATTTTACGTTTCACGCGCTGTAATATCTAACATCCTGATTTCCTTTTCAACCTACATGACTTGTTAATTAGTGTGCAATACTTTTTGGCTTCTCATTGTTACTAATTCGGCAAATTCGTTATTAGCAAGACATGGTTCATTCATGAATTAACAAGCTGCGCTTACTTAGTAATATAAATTATTATCGGTATAGACCGAAACAATATTTCGAAAATTTCCAAATAATTTGACATCATACAATCATACAATGATCGAAAAACATGCATTGTCTATGGGACAAAGAATAAATCCTTTAACATGTTCATCTCCTCATTTTGACGTGACATTAAACCAAGGGACAAAGAGTTCTGAGAGACATTTCATCATACCTCGTAAAAGTCACATAAAAGACTGTTGGAAATTACAATAGCGCTACGTCATAAATCAACTCTGGTATTATCCTATTAGGTATATTATGTGTACTTCATCCGTTCGTTTCGTTCGTTCGTTCGTTTGATACGTCACGGAAGTTCAGAAAAGTTGGTCATTATTTTTATTAACCGACTTCAAGAAAAGGACGAGGTTCTTAATTCGATTTTATATTTTTTTATGTTGCTTATGTTTTATTGCTTCAGAACTCCGTCATTTGTGAGCCGATTGAGAAAATTATTTTATTTATTTATTTGAAAGCATATACTTCCCGTCTAGTCCCCTATAAATTTAAGAAGATTGAAAATCCAGTTTATTACAATTTATCACGATGTGCATTTAATTTTTTTTATATGACTAGGGACACGTTAATTCACTCCATCGCTCACAATTCTCCCAGACTTAAAGTGAACGAAACTCTGCTAAATGTTAAATGATCAAGCTATGGAACCTTATACCAAAACAAAATAATATAACATATTATCTATTTACGAGTATATAAAATAAAGTCGTGTTAGTTTACACCATTTATAACTGAAGAACGGCTGTACCAAATTATTAAAATACGATATTTATCAATAAAAAAAATCATTAAAGACATCAGTCAAAAAATGAGTCTAGCAGTTTATTTGTCATAAATGTTATTACAAAACGCAACTGTCAGTTCACGTAATATTGCCTATGGTTCGTTTAAACTGAACGTAATAATTGTGAATTAATTTTAAAATCCTAAATCCGCTCATTCATTGACTGTTAAGCGAAATGAGGTTCGCCGGGTTAGCTAGTATAATATAGTCGTATAATCTTATAGTGATATGTATCTATAATATTTATACATAAAAATATTGCTTACTGCTGCTTATTATAAATTAGGAAAATAAATATAAAATTGAAAAGCGTATGCTCAAAAACCCTTACGACCTGTTACAGAATAACAATATTGATTCAGCCTTTAAAGCGAGCCCTGAAAAATAACCTCGTGTGTTTTTACATTTACATTTTTCTTCATATATTAAATTGTTGCAAATATCGGCTTAGTGGTCGTTTCGCGTAAATCTGTTGGCAGGAAGCGTGTGAATCGCTTCTTTATAAAAAATGTCATGCATTTATTTGTTGCATGTCATGTCATGAATTTATTTGCATGCGTGTGTTTGTTTTTTGGTATGTGTGAGAGTGTGTCAGTTTATAGCTACTGTTGAACCTGAAGTATCGCTTCTGTTTGTATATACTCATAGTTTTAGTACATTTAGAATATCACGTACGAAAAAACTACGTTAACATTGGAGAATATTTTTATTGTCCTACATTTTTATTGTATCAAAGTTGATCTCGAATATTTATTGGCGAAAAAGCTCTGTGTAAATATCGAGAAGTTCGGAGCGAGTGTTGTTTGAAAAGCAAATTGGTACACTCTCTGTAAAAGGCTTTGTGTGCATGAGTGAAAAGTATTAGTCGCCACTGTTGCTAGGATTGCATTTCGCATAGAGGTACGTGTATGGGTTTGCAACACAATATCTATGTGGATGACTGTACTCTCGGGAGAGATACACTTCTTTAAACTTCCTATACGAACAAGAGGACAGCTTGGTTCAAAAAAATATAAATTGGTACACCAAAGGAAAATATTTTTATTAAGTTAAAATATAGGTGGACCCACTCCTAATACAAGAATTTATAATACTAACTTTTAAACTACTGCGTACTAAAAGATATAATTATGTGAAATCACCGCGTTTACAATAGGTATTAAGTCCATACCATAAATGCCTGACGTTTTGACCAAGGCCTCAATTCTGCTATTTTATGTTAATGTACAAGCCACTGTCATTCCAATGACACGCTATTGAGATGCCATTGTCGTCGGTCAAAATATAGGTATTCTACTAACATAAATGCACAGTGTCAATAGATTATCGATGTAATGACAATCGCTCATCAATGGTGATACCAACAACATTTCCATATCTGGAAAATTAAAAACATCATATCCTTACAAATTTAGAATGTACCATTTACCAAACTTTTACAAAGATATCGACGACATTTGTATCAATGTCAGTTCAGTGACGAGTCATCGGGGCAGTCGGCCATTGGTCTTACATAGTTAGTAGAATACGAAAAGTGCAAAACTATTCCGAAGACTTTCAATCGTCAGTCCGGATGGCACGGATGGTGTAGTGGTTTAAGCGGTCGCCACACCGCTTACTACTACGCTTAGTGTTGTGGGTCCGATCCCCACATGGGACGACACTTTGTGTGATCCACAAATTGTTGTTCTGAGTCTGGGTTGCAGAATTGAGACCCAGGTTATTCTAACCGTGTACTAATCACAGGCTGTCTGGTTCGTCTACCTGTACATCTTGACTATCACTATCACTCTGATGTACTCATATTTTTTTCTTTTATAAAGCATCTTTCTAAACCATTTATTTCTTTGTTTCAGATAATAATGTGGTCTGGCAAGAAGGCTGATGGCAACAATGCCAGCACTCCTACTGCTGAGGAGGAGATTAAGGTGGTGCTGGTAGGAGACACGCAGTGTGGGAAGACCTCGCTCGTGCAGAGATTCGTCTCTGACACATTTATTGAGGTAATTTATTATTTGTTTAGATTGTCATTATATAAATGATTTGACAGACTCTTTTTAGTTCGAGTCGTTACATAATAATATTTTGGCAATCTGACACACAACGTCATCTAGTTTCAAACCAAGCAGAACTAGTACCAGGAAAACTAGATTGACAGGTAGAATACCTTTAAAATAAAGGAAAAAATCATTTTATTGGAAATAAAAAATAAAACATACCCAAAATAAAGTTCTATATTTTTAGACTAACACAGTCTACATATTTTTTACAGAATATGTGGACATGTAATTTGATATGCATTTATTGAAGAAATGAAGTGAAAAGTGAGTAATTTGGACATTACATGGCGCGAACAACAAGTCAAAAAGTGTAGATCTATATTCGTGTCTGCAGTGCACCTCTTCCCATGTAGTATTTCATTACCCAAAACCATCCCCCATGTTGATTCTCACGACGATAATTATGTAGTGTAATAATTAGTTGGCCCACAATCAAAGCGTTAACTCGAATGTTTGAATATATAGAATAATTTTAACGCCTTATTTAATTTATTTATTTTTGTATAAAAAGGCGCAATATGTACTTTCATAAATCATACTTATGGCACAATCTTGGTGAGTTGTGTGAGCTCACTTTGTCTCCTGCCGTGTACATGAGTAGGTACACCATTAAATTACTTATAAGTAAAAGTACCGTGTGAGTATGTACTTGCTAAGTGTGAATTTAGAATAATAAAAAAACTGTTATAAAAGTTTAACTCATCAAAGACCTAAACACTTAATACATACAAAAGAAAAAAAAAATCTTTAGAACTATTATATCTGACAAGATAACTTATTTTGGCTCTGTACAATATAGGTACTTATTTTCAGTTACTAACTAAAAAAAAACGTTTTGCAATCAATAAGGTAAACCATTTGGTTTGTTTACAGTCGCTAATACATATTTTACATAATAAATATTTTTCCAAGTATCTTATAAACTTACTTTTTTTGTACATACATTCATACTGTACATAGAAAACACCCAAACTCCTGAATGAACTTCTAGTTTTTCAGGCAATTCTAAGTGATCCTGTAGAGTGATTAGGCTTGTCTTAGATGGAAGTATCCATATTTTTTCGAAGGCCAAACGTATATTCCAGACATGAATGAAAGATGAAGGTAAGGCATTTCTACTAAATTAAAATGAAATGACGATATCCACATAACATTTGGGCAGAACATTAACATAAATTCAACTAAATAAATAAAAGATTTTTGGTTCAAGAAAAAATGGCGTATACGCCATGTTTCTTTTCTGAATAACATATTTATAATTGTTTACGTACTTAATTCAATTGACAACGTTACTCAATTTTAGACATTAATTCGTAACTACGTAGGTACATTGTTTTTTGGCACAAACGAACAGATGGGTCACGTGTTTATGCCAAACTGGGACCACATGGGTAAGTGACTAGACTCTCCCTTTCTCTCAGTACAGTCAGTTCACGATTTCTTTACATTTCCTAAAATTAGGAAAAGTCTTCGTGGTCAAAGGTTCCAGTCCGGTGAAGAAGCAGTCGACGCTTTCAAGTCAGCCATTTTGAACACCCCCACTTTAGAGTGGAATAAATGTTATAATAACTGGTTTGAGGGAATGGAAAAGTGTATTAAGCTACGTGGTGAATACTTTGAAAAACAATAAATAGTACTATAAGGTTCTAGTTGTGTTTTTTCCTTCAAACGACACAACTTAAAAGGCATTCCTTGTATATGCTGATAGATAGAAAAGATACTTTTTACTGATACAATACATTGCATTAAAATTAAGCACTCTATTAATACAAAGATCGTGTTTGCTTTTGTCTTCTTGAAAACGTCAATTCAACTAACTTGAAAGCAGCCAGCTCTAGGCTGGTTATCAAAGACACCGGATAAAATTCTCTCGAATACGTCAAAAATCAACAAACACTACATAATAAGATAAACTCAACCGTAAAACGGAATTTTAAGTTTCAAAACCCCTTGTCACTTCACTTGTCTGTTAGTCATTGATAAACAAAATGTTTTTCAACTGACTCCCGGACCCCCTGATTCAAATATTTTTTAGTGAGTTTTCTAACATGTCAACATCAACTCTTTAATCATATAGGTCCTATGTATGATGCCTTTTATTTAATATTTGTCATAAAAAGATATATTTTTTTAAATTTCTGAATTTACCATGCAAAAGCAAAACTTCCCACAGTCTTGACTGGCATTATGACATCGGCGCCATTTTGGATGTTTGAAATTAGGCAAAGGAAACACGTGTAAACTGTTTAACGCCATCCCAGTTCATCCGTGATCATGGCGCTTGTTGAAATATCGAAAACTAATTTCCGAAAATAAACATGGTAAATATCCTGTTTCTAACAAGTCCTACGAATAATAATTTCTTATTATAATTATATTATTTATATTATTATTCGTAGAATAAGTATAAAAACTTAACATGCTTGAAATAACTTGAGTAGGGTGAAAATTAAGTCCTATGGTTGATGAAAGTTTACTAAATCAATACCATTTAAAACTAAAATTAAAAAAACGGTCTGATAAAACGAATAGTTTTCATATTTTATTTTTAAATATAAATGTGTGTGATATTGAAATCATTATTACCAGTACAAGATTTTGTTTAACTTTGTATCTGTTTGGCTCAGGTCAAATATTGCAACTGAACTGTAAGGCATTTATCCCTAACCGAATGTGCTGAAATTTTGTGCATAAACCTATAGTTTGGATGACAATAAATTACATTACATGGAATTATATATTACATAAAATTACACTTGTGTTGCTTTTGCAATGCGTGTGTACGGGTGTGAATGCCTGTATGGGCGGTGCATATGGGGTCTACCAATAAGAACGTCCTGGTTTAAAAATTGAATAAAACACACAATTTTTTATGAGAAATGCATCCGATTGATTTATTTGATAGATAATTTTATGCAATTTATGTTTTAAATAATATATCGGCCAAATGACCGCCACGGCTCTTTTTGCAGACGGTCACCCGCTCACGCCAATTTTCGTCGGCTATGGCTCGTCGAATCTTGGTTTTTAGGTCACGAATTGTAGCTGGATTATTGCTGTACACTTTAGATTTAACGTAACCCCAAAGAAAATAGTCTAAAGGTGTTATATCACACGATCTTGGTGGCCAACTGATCGGTCCATTTCTCGAAATTAACGACTCACCAAACTTTCCACGCAATAATTCCATGTTCACCATGTTGAAAATAAAGGTCGTCTGCATCACTATCATCAAATTCCGGAAAGAAATATTCTGTTAACATCGAGTTATAGCGCTCGCCATTCACAGTAACAGAGTTCCTTCGTCACTTTCAAAGAAATTATGGACAATTTCCAAGCGTTGGTTTAAAGTGAAACGTGACATGATAAAATGGTAAACCTTACTGAACACAAATGTGAAGAGACGTCATAGATCCATCATCAAACATGGCCGCTATGAGCTGTCAAAACCAGGTCATCCCTATTGGTAGACCCTTTATGTGTGTGTGTTTGTTTTATATCCTGTGCTACATAGAAATCGTTAATCCTTTTATAACTTTTCAACAGCATCGTAATCAATGAATTTTTACCACGCGGATAAAAGTATTTTGAATTTACGTACTTTACTAATTTTGTTGTATTTATAATATACATGAGGAGCTAATTAATTATAGTGTCTCTTAGCCAACTTTGATATTATCATATTCAACCATCTGTACCCTGCCACGTTTCGCTGTGGCAGCAGTGATGAAAAATGAGTAATAAAATTGACACAGTAAATAGATAAAAACTCTAAGCCGTTTGTATAATGTGTTAAAATTTGAGCTCAAACGGTGAAGAACTTTTTGAGCTTTTGAAGCGTACACAAAACAACTTAACATTTTTATATATAGAGACATATTATAAAAGACATAATAAAGTCTATTAAAAATATACAAATAAAAGCAATTACATTTGCTTAACAAACATAAACAGCCTATTAGGTAACGACACACTTAAAAGCGAGGTCCTCATATTCAAACATGGCTACATTTGAAGTGAACATTTCGAATCTAGGTATTTCATTCTAGATATTCCAGTGAAATGAACGTCCGACATGAAAGATGGCAGTTAAGTATCCCTTTTGCAAGTTATTACATGCCTCTATAATGTTCTATTTTACGGTTTTCGCTTCAGTCATAAAGCCCTTTTTACTTTAATGTTCCGTCCCATCCGGTTCTCCTACTAGTTTCACGATAATAGTTCGAGATTATTCTATTTATATAATTATATTACTTCAACGAATACATTTAGATATTGACTGCACGGATGGTGTAGTGGTTTAAGCGGTCGCCACGCCGCTTACTACTACGCTGAGTGTTGTGGGTTCGATCCTCACATGGGACGACACTATGTGTGATTCACAAATTGTTGTTCTGAGTCTGGGTGTTCTTTGTGTCCGTTTCATGTATGTTTGTAGAGTCCCCCGCGACACAGGCTATAATCCTAGCGCAGGAGTTATCTTGAGGCCGTTGTATCACTCGGTCCGATTCGAACCGAGTGATAAAACGGCCTCACGAAACGGGAAAAATCCCCCCCATTTGTGTCAAAGCATGACTGGAGAAACATAGCTTACAACCAGAAAACAAAGTCTTCTCGGAGAATAGAAGAACAAATGCTAACAAACCAGCGGAAAAGATATAATACCTAGCTCCTACATCTAACATAATACTAGATCGAGACGCATCGTTTGATAACATTTTAGGTGTGAAAATCGAAAGGTACATCCCTAAAAAATAGAATAATTCTTCGGCAAACAAGAAATTCCTCATGTTCTAAAGAAAAACATGTAGGGATAAACGAGAAACATTTTAACACTTCTGGTAACATTTTTTTTTGCGTGAGTATGCGGGAAAAAACGGTTACGGACGCACTTTTTGTGACCTAAAACAACATCCTGTGAGCGTAAATATCGTGTTAGCGTT